TGTATTCTTGGTGGGGTGGATAGGGTAGAAGGACAGAGAAGGTGGGTGAGGTGGGAGAGATTGGTAATTATCATAATGGAGATATTAACACGTAGAAACAACGACTATTTTGTAAGCATTTGGGGATGTTCGGAGTAGAGCCTTATAAGTTGTTATTTTTCCCAGTGAGTAGTTGATGGGTACCGTGGTGTGGTCTATAGCTTTCTTAAGTTTTAGTAAGAGTTTCATGGTACTTGGAACACAATAAGGTCGTATACGTGCCGAAGCTTAGAGGTTTTACAAGAGAGTAACAAACACAAGAAAGAAGGAAGACAGAGAAGTACGATAGTTTTTTATAGGAAAGAAGGAACAAACCACACCAGAGCAGCCGCCAACCACCCACTATATCTTTCTATCATATTTTTTTTTAATTAGACCTTTCAGCTTACTGCTGTGGTCATGTTAAACAGAGAGTGATATCAAGCTGGGTGGATATTGGATATCAAATACAACTGTTGTCTATTGAAAGGAAAAAACCCCAAAAACTTAGACGGCCGCCACTTTAGTGACTCCATTACGTTTTGTCATAAATTGTGCATTGGACCCCGGCGTTGTATGCGAGCCGCCAAAATTCAATCACTTGTCCTTGAAAAAAAAAAATTCTAACGCTCCAACTAATGTACCAGAGAGCAGGTATCTATGTACCAGACAGATGTGCTATCATAATTAAATAGAACTTCTTTTTTTCTAGAAAAAGGGAGTAACCTGTTTGTTTGTTTGTTTGTTTGTTTGTTTGTTTGTTTGTTTGTTTGTTTGTTTGAGTAAAAAGAAATACATCGACATGAACATAGTCGTTTGGTGCTCGGGCAAAGGAATGAATCAGAACCATGATCGCCGATGTTTGTCGTATATCTGGCACTTGATGAGGATGATGATGATGAGTGCACGGGAAAGCTATGATACGGAGACTGAAAAGGATAGGGAAAGAACTGAAGAACTTATGTGAAGCGTGCTGACAAAATGAGTTACTTCTCGGATTCGAGCCCTATTCAAGTAGATACATCACGCTTACAGGTGAAGTTTTTATCATTTTTAAATATGAAATAATAAAAGGAATGTTTTACTTGAAGAATATGGCATTAATAGAAAATCTGCAAATTTGACCCTAGTGTCGATTTTTGGCCAATATCTCCATTTGTGGATTGCGAGAAGTAACCAATTTTGTCAGCATACCTCACTTATGTGTAATGTAACGACCTCCATCCAACAATGAAAAGGGAAAGAGCTCTTGAGCATGGATATGCGCTATATAAATGCAATTATTATTATTATTAAAAGAAAAGAAAAAGAATTAGATCTTAGTCTGCCCATTTTTGTTAATGTAACTTTTTCTGCAACAGAATCACTGCCAGTTCTTTCACTTCATACATATGTCGTCTTTATTGCTCCACCTCCTGTTTTTTTTTATCTTTATTTCACATTTTTATTATATTTCATTTGATTTGTTTGTATATTTTGTTTATGTTACTCTGTTGTAACACCGTCTATAATCCAGTATGGCCTAATTTGTATCGCAAGTGCCGCAAAACTCATCCTAAAACTACTTAAAAATTCCTATTCTTTCACTTCACGCTGTTACGTTGTTTTTAAAAAAA